AGTAATATAGCATTACTTGCGAACCAAATGTCTGTCCGTTTGACTGATTAGTGGTCTCTCTCTTACAGGGGATCAGGAGTTGTGGCGATTGTCGTGCTATAAGGCGTGGGACAGCCACTCGAGCGCCGCCCTAATCGCCAATTACGGCAATAACTGGCGCCATATGTTTGTCGAGCGGGTGAGGCCTAACTTCAACGGCGCGTACATCAGTCGCACCACTTATATACGTCAGGGGGAGGCCTCCTTCCAGGACGTGCACTACCGGCCCTGTTATCTCGTCGAGTACTACCGGTATATACGGTTTTTCCCGAACGGTAGGCGCTTTCCCCTTGGAATCCCATGAATTAAAGTGCTAATTACATACATATCCCCTCAAAACACAGGTCACGTGTTGATGTTGACCACCGCTGACGATCCGCACCAGAGTTTGCCATCACTTCGGCACCGGAAACCTAAGAACAGTAACGTCTTGAGCGGTCACTACCGGATCAACGGGCAGACCATTTCGATAGTCATCAAAAGGGACTACATCTCGGATGGCAGTCAAACGGCGCGTAAGTATAAGCATAAGAATCGCGACCAATCCGTGTCCACCCAGACGTTCAACATATCGCTGGACGTGAAGACTGTGCGGAATAGGCGTAACCATCAGCTCCTGTGGTCTCACTATTCAGTGCACTATAGGAAACCCAACGGACAGGAAATGGTGACTGACTTTGATTTGACGGCCAATAAGTTCCCGTCGTTTTGGTTCTCAAGAGTCAAGAGTTATGTGACGACCGCTGACCACAAACTCGCGTGAATTGGCCGACAATTTGTGGTCATTTTTTGGTGATCAGCTCATCAATGGTTTAATTGTTATATTCACTGATATTTCATATATGAATATATTTATCAAATATATTATAAGACTTTTCACTCAAAGTCTGTGTTTTGTTTAATTTCCATTGAATTCTATATAACTTTTTTGAAGTGATTTGAAGTTTAACTATATTTTTGAAATTGTTTTTCTAATTTCGAGACAAAAAGTGTTTAAAATTGTTATTATTTTAGAGCGTTTCATATACCCTGTGATTAAACACTTTTTGGTTAGTTATGTCACATAACTTATGTGTATAAAAGTTTGTGTTCAGACTTCACATTATGTTATGTAATGATTAATAATTTTTGATTTTTATTTTCAAGTTTTCCATACATTTGTGACTATATTATTGATTTATCAAATATCAATTATTCATTATTAATGAAATTATTACAATAAGATTTATGATATTGTAATTTTTGAACATAAATTGTTAAATAAAGCACTCAATTGTTAATATTAATAATATAAGAATATTCTCAATGTTTGTGTTTATGATAACATGAATTATAAATTATATATAATTAATTATAATTAATATAATTATAATTTATAATTTAATAAATAAAGTTTTTCTAACATAAGTTTGTATAATATATTTATTTAATTAACTTGTTTTTCACTCGCATTTAAAATTGTCTCGATATTAATAAACAAAACAAAACACAATATTAAACGTTACCTAGTACAGAACAGTATTAAGAAATTAATATTGCTAATTAAAAATATGTACAATGGGCGGTAGTCATATAAAAACAATATTAAATTGAGATATTTATTTAAAAATAATTACTCTGAATTACTTTTAATAAGGGTTAATTTTGTAATATTACTCATATTTTATCATAAGTAATTGTTTTTCATAAAAATCAAGATTGCCACGAGTTCACAGCATTTATAATAATTATTATCAGGACATTAATTATAACAAATTTAGTACATTAGGACATTCTCTACCGTATATCTCGTAAACATATTAATTGCCATTTATATTACATACATGTATTATTGATTATTTAATTATTTAATTAATTAATTATAATTTAAATGATTGCATAATATGTACAAATGTATTCACAAAACAAATGC